ATACTAATAATATGTGAATTCATAGTCTTTCTCCCACGCTTTGTTATAAAGAAATCTGCTAGTTTCCACCCTCTTTTCTGCACTTACAGAATACTTATTTGCTGGGAGAGAATCTGCGACAATCTACAAAATAATAAGGAAGAGAAATACACTACAGAGGGAACATGTGCAGAGGAAACAGACAAAATGGTGAGCTGAACATAGTGTTATTCTGACAGCAGTGTTATTTGTCAGTGGTCTACACTGTGATGGTCAAGAGATGAGGCTGGATGTAAGCAGTAAAGTGGAAGGAGGAAGAAAGCATTTTTTGTTTGTTTTTTTAAGTAGACTACTTTAAAAGTGGTGTGGAGGATAGACTGGAATGCAATGTGAAGGTGGCCAGGAGACCAGACAGGAAATGACCTAAAAAAGCCATGGCAAGGAGACTGGAAAGAAGAAGTCTTTTCACTCTAGTTTTCCATTATAATTTGTTCTTTCACTCTAAAGAAGTTTACAATGATAGCAGCAAAATAATCTTTATTTGGTTGGCCTGCCTTAGCTTCCCTTCTTCTTCACCCCTAAAGTCCATTTTCTCTTAGGCAAAGAATCAAGGGTGTCATTGAGACATAAGCAGGATTTTTTTTTTTTTCCTCTTCATTATATAATTAAGGTACAAAAGAAAACCCTGGTGGCGTAGTGGTTAAGAGTTCAGCTGCTAACCAAAAGGTTGGCAGTTCAAATCATAAGGCGCTCCTTGGAAACCCCATGGGGCAGTTCTACTCTGTCCTACAGGGTCGCTATGAGTTGGAATCAACTCGATGGCAACAGGTTTTTTTTTTTGGTTTAAGGTACAAAAATACTAAGCATATTTTCTAACAGCATAGAGCTTGTAACTGGTAGTTAACAGGACTAACTCCCAAATGTTTTGATTCTTGGTACAGAGAATTATTTCTCTAATTTCTTCCATGGCCCCTTATTTTCTACCTGCTACGAGCCCTGGTGGCGCAGTGGTTAATAGCTCAGCTGCTAACCAGAAGGTCGGCAGTTTGAATCAGCCACTCCTTGGAAACCCTATGGGATCGCTATGAGTCAGAATCGATTCGACGGCCATGGGTTTGGTTTTAGGTTTTAACCATTCTACTTTATCAAACTAGGTAGAGTTCAGATCTCAACTCCTCAGTGACAGGCTATTGGAGGAAGTTGCATGTGCTTCTGACCTTTCTCCCCAGTTTGGCTGATCATAAAATCTCAACTCTGTGGCCACAGCAATTAATTTAAGACAAGGTTTCTCAACCTCAGCACTACTGACATTTAGGGCTGGATACTTTGTTGTGGGGGGCTGTCCTGTGCATTGTAGGATGTTTAGCAGCATCCTTGACCTCTCCTCTTGAACTGCTAGTAGCAAGCACCAGTTGTGAAAACCAAAAATGACTCCTGGATGGTCAGGTCACTCCAAGCTGACAACCACCAGTCTAAGAGGTGAGCATTGTTAAGAAGCCATAACCAGCATGACTGTTGGACTGAGACTCAAACTCAGCGATTCCTCTCTACATTATCATCTATGCCAAATTTCAGTGATATCACTGCTCTAGGTAGATATCAGCTCCAGTAACATTACCTGTCAATTTTCACGATTGTAATTTGTCCACTTCTCAAATGGCAGTGGTCCACCCTTACCTCCAGCCCTGCCACACTGACCCAGAGACCATTATACCAGTTAAGAGGCTTCCTTATTTCCTGCAGACAGGGAGAAAAATTGGTAAGAGTTTGTGGTGGGTTAAAGAAGGCCACAGATCCTTTGATATTGCTCCCATCAAGAAGTGATTGCCTTGAATTTGGGCTGAACCTGTAACTGTTTTGACCAATGGAGTATGACAGAAGTGACTTTATGACTGTTCTGAGCCTAGCTTTTAAGAGAACTGGTAACTTCTGTTTGGACTATTGAAACCCTATCACCCCATCAAAGAAGTCCACCTTCTCTGCTGGAGAGACCACATGGAGGTCCTAAGATTGGAGATAGGTAGGGCCCAGCTTAACCTAGCCTTCCAGCCATCCTTGCCAAAGCACCAGGCACGTGAGTAAAGTTGTCGCAGGGTTTAGAGTAACCCAGCTACCAGTTGAATACCAAGGGACCCCAACTGATGCCATGGGGAGCATAAGAAGTGCTCAGCCGAATCCTTCCTAAATTGGAATCTACTAAGTCATGAAATACAGTGAAACCAGTGGGAGCCTGAACTTGACATGACTGCCTTGTTTTTTTCCTGGTCTTGCAAGCTTTCTGCCTTTGACAGGGTGCAGTCTTACCACTTTTATATCGCTTGTTTAGTGGAAGATATTTGACCCAAGCCATGGTGTTTTCAGTTGCCTCATATGCATGTGAAAGCTGGACAATGAATAAGGAAGACTGAAGAATTGACGCCTTTGAATTACAGTGTTGGCGAAGAATACTGAAGGTATCATGGACTGCCAAGAGAACCAACAGATCTGTCTTGGAAGAAATACAGCCAGAATGTTCCTTAGAAGCAAGGATGGCAAGACTATGTGTCACATACTTTGGACATGTTATCAGGAGGGATCAGTCCCTGGAGGACATCATGCTTGGTAAAGTAGAGGTTCAGCAAAAAAGAGGCCGACCCTAAAAGCCTGTGAGCAGCCATCTAAGATATTCCACTGGTCTCACCCCTTTGGGAGCAAGGGAGAATGAAGAGAACAAGATACAAGCAAAAGATTAGTCCAAAGGACTAATGGATCACAGCTACCACGGCCTCCACCAGACAGAGTCCAGTACAGCTAGATGGTGCCCGGCTACCACCACAGACTGCTCTGACCAGGATCACAATAGAAGGTCCTGGACAGAGCTGGAAAAGGATGTAGAAGAAAATTCTAACTTACAAAAAAAAAAAGACCAGATTTACCGACCTGACTGGAGAAACCCTAAGAGTATGGCCCCCGGACACCCATTTTAGCTCAGTGGTAAAGCCCCTCCTGAAGTTCACTGTTCAGCCAGGGATTGGACAGCCTCATAAAACAAAACGGGACTAATGAGGCACAGCAGGCCAGGGACAAGGACTAAGAGGCAGGAGGGAACAAGAAAGCTGGTGATAGGGAACCCAAGGTTGAGAAGGGACAGTGTTGATATGTTGTGGGGTTGTTAACCATTGTCATAGGGCAATATGTGTACTGTTTAATGAGAAACTATTTGTTCTGCAAACCTTCATCTAAGGTTAAAAAAAAAAA